AGTCTCCTAAGCCAAAACCCTAAGTTCCTAGCCTACTCCTACTTTAACATCGCCCTACATCGGAGCCGATCGTCGAGACCGAGAAGATTCTGAGCCATCGGATTCATCACCCTACAGACATCAAGAGGATCGAATTCCTCGTTCACTGGAAGGACCGCACCCCAACCGAAGATAGCTGGGTGCCCCTGGTCAACATTGAGAATCACCCTGCCCTGCAAGTATACCTTAGGAGCCGGGGTTTTCGCGATATACATGCACTCGCGTAGCGGAGGGGGCCTCTTGAGGGGAGGGGGGTAGTGTAAGGATTTTTTCGGCATTCTTTACCGCGTGCTTCAACACCGTGTACAAGACCAGCCGTTGTTCGCCCGTTACTGCTAACGGGGCTTCGCCAACATTCGCGCACACTGTTCACCAAACCATGCACCGCTGGCCCGGCCGTGTCGGCCTCCGCTTCGGGACTAGCCCGAAGCTCGATGCCAGCCTAGCAATAGCTAGCTCGCACGCACCACGTTACGATTTGCATGTGCTCACATGCCTTCGCTCATATTTTGACAACCTAGTGCAATCCTCGCTATCTCGTTTACATTGCACCCATTACAGAACCCCATCTGGAATAGACGAGGATTCTTGTCAGCAAATACGCCATAAGGGCGTGCCATAAGCTCGATCTCATTTTTTCAACGGACATACGCCGACAGACAGGCCAGCACAGCACGGCACACGGATCGGTGCTCTCGCGCGGCACACCCCACCTCGTGGCCATGGACGCGCTGAAGACGGCGGCGCCGTCGCAGCTGCTGGCGGAGCGCGGCGCCACGCTCGTCGTCATCCACCCGGGCTCGCTCACCCTCCGCATCGGCCTCGCGTCGTCCGCCGCCCCGCTCGCCATTCCGCACGTCATAGCGCGGCTCGTGTCGCCAAAGGGGGGGCTAGCGCGGGGAGTGGCGGAGAACGGGAATAACGCAGAGCGGGGAGGCGAGGCCGCGGCCCGCGCGGACGAGCAAGTCGGGGTGAGATGTGCGGGCGGGCGAAAAGGGGGGGCGATTGGATGGGGGAGACGAATGGATGGGTGTGCGCAGGAAGCAGCGGTAGGCGGGGAGGTGGAGGGCGGAGGAGAGGGGTGGGCGCGGAAGGCGGCGGAGCGGATGAGCGGTGAGAGCGGCGCCAAGGAGCTGTCCGCCGCCATGAAGGAGCGGCGCGACGCGCTGAGAGCCACGCTGGCTGAAATAGGGTTTCCGCCTCTGGCGGACGGGAGGGGACGGCGGGGGGAAGAAGGGCATGGGGAGGAGAGCGAGGAGGAGGGAAGGAGGTGGGTGGGGGGAGGGGGCGTGGAGGTGGACGACTCGAGCTTCGCGTGGACGCAGGTGGCGGAGAGGGGCGGGGGGGGAGGGGGGGGAAGGCGATGAGGAGGAGAAGGGAGGGTGTGAGATGTCTGCGAAGCAGTTGAGTGGCAGTGAGGCGGATGAGGGCAGGGGGCAAGGCGAGGGGCAGGCAGCGGGAAAAGAAGGCGTGGGTGGGGAGCGGGCGGTGGGCAGGGCGGAGGAGAGCGAGGCAGGGGCGAGTGAGGTGTGCGCGCAGGCGAGGAGCAAGGTGACGAGCAGCGCGCAGGCACGTGGCGCAGATGCGGGCGCGCAGGGGAGGGCGAGAATGGCATGCGGTGGCACGTGCGGGCAAGTGCATACAGGGGAGGAGCATGAAGGGAAGGAGAAAAGAGGTGAGGGAGAAGAAGATGAGAGGGCAGAAGATGAGGTGAAAGAAGTGGATTGTGAGGGAGGGGATGGCAAGGTTACGAGAAGGGGGGACGATGGGATGGGTGGAGGCAACAGCGGGGAGGCAGGTATGGATGGGGAAGAGGGTGGGCAGGAGGGTGGGAAGGAGGAAGGGAAGGAGGGTGGGAAGGAGGATGGGAAGGAGGGGGAGGAGGGTGGGAAGGAGGGGGAGGAGCAAGGGAGGAGCAGTGGGGTGGAGAGAGAGGAGTCAAAGGAGGGTGTGATGGAAGCAGGTGCGAGTGGCATGGGTGAAGAGGGGGGAGTGAGCGAGGTCCATGCAGCGGATGGTGCGTGTGCGACACGAAGGGAGGCTACGGGTAGAGGAGAGGACACGGGGGATGGGGGAAGAAAGGGCGGAGAGGGGAGGGCAGTGAGGAGAGAGGAGGCGGTTGCGGGTGAAGGGGAGGGCGAGGGCATGGTGGGTGGGGAGCGAGTGGTGGGGACGAGTGGTGGCGTGCATGGGAAGAGCAGCAGTGCGGCACAGAAAGGGGTGGAAAGGGGGAAGGGGATGGAGAAAGGGGTGGAAAGGGGGAAGGGGATGGCGAAAGGGGCAGAGGATTATTTGGCTGTGGTGGCAGGGAGCGGGGGAGCAAGAGAGAGCCAAGAGGCAGAGCGGGGCGCGGAGGAGGGAGTGGACAGGCAGGCGGTGGGGCAGGGCGAGGCAGTGAAGGGTGCAGTGGATGGAGGGGCGGTGAACGCAGGGGCTCAAGTGGGGGTGAAGCAGGAGGAGAGAGAGGGGGTGAAGGAGGGGGACGACAAGGCGCTCACATCCCCCCGGCTCCCGCCGACTCCCCCCCCTGCAGCGCACAGCAGGCAGCGTGTGCGACCACGGTACCGCCCCGTGGTGGTGGGCCAGGCGGCGCTGGCCATCCCTGGGGGGGCGCCGTACAGGGTGCGACGGCCCATGGCACGCGGGCACCTGAACGCCAGCCACGCGTACCCGCTGCAGCACGTGCTGGACGACCTCAGCGCCATCTGGGACTCCGCCCTCGCCCGCCTCTGCCCTCTCCCCCATCCTCAAGCTGCCACTGCTGCTGCCCCTCAGGATCGCGCGGGCAAGGACGGGCAGCAGTGGGAGTGGGATGGCGAGGAGGGGGTGGAGCGGCGGCGGCAGCGACAGCAGTGGCAGCAGCAGGTGGGGGCGGTGATAGTGGTGCCGGAGAGCATGGAGGGGCGCGAGGTGAAGGAGCTGGTGGGCGTGGCGCTGAGGCACCTGCGCCTGGCGTCCGTGGTGGTGCACCAGCAGGCCGTGGCCGCCGCCTTTGGCAGCGCGGCGCCGTCGGCGTGTGTGGTGGACGTGGGCGCGCACACGGTGAGCGTGGCATGCGTGGAGGAGGGCAGCGTGCGCGCGGCGTCACGCGTGGTGGTGCCGGTGGGGTCGGAGGACGCGGGGCTCTGCCTGCTGTGGGCCGCCAACGAGATGCTGGGCGGCCGCCGCCCCCGCACTCCCACGTCCGTGGATGGGGCGGGCGGGGGAGGCAGGAGTGGAGGAGAGAAGCGCAAGGGTCGAGATTTGGAGAGTGTGGACTCGAAGGAGAGCGATGAGGGGGAGCGGCAGGAGGAGGTGGGGGAGAGGGAGAGTGGCGAGGGCATCAGGCGGTCGCTGCGCGTGGCGAAGAGAGTGCGGGGCGAGGGGAGTGGCGGGGGGGAGGGGGGGGGCAGCAGAGAGAAGGGTGCGCAGGAAAGTAGAGACGCAGGTGGAGGTGGCGCTGTGGACGAGGGCGCAGACAGGGTTGAGTTTTGGGAGGAGGGGGAGTGGCTGTGGCCGTACCCAGGCTTTGACCCATGGGCGGATGCACAGGAGTGGGTGCAGCTGCAGGCGGTGAAGGAGGCGCACTGCTCGCTGGAGGTGGAGGAGCAGGGCGGCGAGGATGCATTCGACGGCCAGGCAAGCTCCTTGAGGTGCTGCCGGGTGCACTTCACTCAGCGCTCACCTGCCTCGCCACTGGCAGTGCGCCATGCGGTGCCGCTGCCGCGAGCAGCCATGCGGGCAGCAGCGGAGATGCTCTTCCGCCCCGCCCTCATGCTCTCGCCGCTCTCCCACGCGCACTCGCCCGTTACCCCGTGGCCGTGGCCGCCCGCCCACCTGCGTGTGGACCACCAGGACGCCCTGGACGACGCCTCGCTGCCCGACGCCGCGCTGCGCCGCCTTGACGCCCTCGCCCTGCCCGACCCCGACCGTGCGCCGCCCACCGCCTCTGCTGCTCCCACAGGGGGGCGCCGCGTGCCGCTGCTGCTGGGGGTGGACGCGGCCATCGCGGCCAGCGTGGCGGCGGTGCCGGACAGGGAGGGGCGCGAGAAGCTGCTCACCAACATCGTGCTCACCGGGGGTGGCGCCGCTCTGCCTGGGCTGAGGAGGCGCATCGAGCAGGCCGTGCCTCGCGCTCTCACCGCCCGCTTGCAGGCCATGGCCCACCAAGCCCAAGCTGCTGCTGCTGCCGCCGCTGCCACTGCTGCCACTGCGGCTGCTGCTGTTCCACCAGGTTCGGGACACAATCCTGCAGCAGCTGCTGCAGCCGCCGCCGCAGCAGCCACTGCAGCACAGGCTCAGGCTGCTGCTGCTGCTGCCGCGGGTGGTGGCGTGGGGGGCCATGGGCGGGTGGAGGTGGAGGTGCTGGCGAGCAGGCATCCACCGGGTGCGACGGCGTGGCGGGGGGGTGCGGTGCTGGGCGTGCTGGACTGGAGCCGTGAGTCGTGGATGACCCGCGACGAGTGGGTGGAGGGGTGCCGCGTGGGCGCTGGCAGAAGGTACCGTGAGTCCATGTGCTTCCAGACACCTCTCGTGTGGTACTCTAACGTGGAGTAGAGGGAATGGAATGGAATGCAGGCTGTGCTACACAGGGTGACTAATTTCATACTGCCACATGCTCTGATAATAGGAACTTACATACATAAGAAAACACCCATATAAAGGCAACCCTGTGTTTGATTCAACCCTGTCTTACATCCATGGGATGAGGGTGGCACAGATTTACCCATCTGGGTGCAATGCGTTCATCCCATATTATTAACACAACACCCGGGATTGTTTATCCGGAGTACGGTAGTTTCTAGAATTAGTTTGTCTACCTGTAGTGGGCTCTACTCTACCATTTAAATATTGCTGCATGCTTGCTCAGTCATTGTTGCACCAAGCCTATCCCTGGTGGTAATCATACGTGTTAGAGAGAACAGTGCAGCTGCAGTCGAAAGGGGGGCATGCATAAATACGCAGACAGGTGAGCGCTTGATTCATGGAGGTGCCCTGCAAGTGGCACAACTAGCAGTGGTGGCGCACGGCACGAGCTCCGCAGCACGGAGGGCGGGGGGGGGGGGTGGTGGGGTGGCGCGGACATGGTGGGCGGCGGCATGCAATGGGGTGGGCGACATGGTGAGGGATGGGGTGGGGGATGCGAAGCGGGCAACCAAGGGTGCGAAGCGGGCATCCCTGGGCGTGTCGGGCACCTGCACGAATGGCAGCGTGAGCAGCTGCAGAGAGAGAGAAAGAGAGGAGGCACAGGCATGGGGGAGCGTGCGAGTTGGTGAGGGTAGGTGGTCCATGTGGTAGCAAGTGTGTGTGCCTGGCACGCGGAAGGTGACTGTGGCGTGTGTTATGCAAGGAGAGAGAGGAGGAACGGAAGGTGAGTGGGACGTGCTGTGGGGCATGGACTGGCAAGAGGGTGTTGCAGCATGGGGGCAGGGGTGCAGCATGGGGGCATGCATGCAGCATGGGGGCATGCGTGCAGCATGGGGGCATGTGTGCAGCACACAGGGCGGACAGAGGCAGCCTTGCTGCAGCGATACGAGCGGACCAGAGAAAATGGGCAGAGGGAGGCAGTGGCAGCATGGCGCTCATGGCAGCATGGCGCTCATGGCAGCATGGCGCTCATGGCAGCATGGCTCACATGGCAGCATGGCAGCACATAACAGTGTGGCTCACATCGGAGGCGGAGGGGCGCTGGTTGGGGTCGAGCTGGAAGCAGGCGGTGAGGAAGTCGCTGGCCTCTGCGGACACGCCCTCGGGGATGGGCGGGCCCGTGGTGGTCTTGGCGATGTGGAATATGGCCGACCACGTGTTGTCCATGCCCGGCCATGGGTGCCTGCCGCCCCCTCCACGCCCGACGCCCCATGCCCCATTGCCCATGCCCCATGCCAACATGCAAGCAGGAGGTCAGTGTGAGCATGAGGCAAGCGCAAGGGAGGCAAAAGGTGGCAACAGGACGAAGGACGAGAGAATGGGATGGGGGAACGGGGCCTTCACTCAGCTTCACCACCTGATACCCATGTCAATGACTCACCACCTTGTCAGCATCTCGATGACTCACCGCCCCGTCAGCATCTCGATGACTCACCGCCCCGTCAGCATCTCGATGACGGTGCAGCCAACGCTCCAGATGTCAGCGCGGCGGCCGTACCCCTCGCCCTTGATGACCTCGGGGGCCATCCAGAAGACGGAGCCGCGGATGCTCTTGCATCCCTCGCCCACCGTGCCCTCGTGGAAGCTCTGCGCCGCACCACACGTGGTCATCATGATTCATGGGGAGAGACATGGAGGGGAGGGGCGAAAGGGGCAAGGGCCGAGGGGCATGGGTCATGTGATGTGTATCCATCCACATCGCCCCACCCTTCCTTGCACCTGTTCCCTGCCCCCGCCTTGCACACCCCCCTCTTCTTTATTCCACCTTCACACCCTTTTTCCCCAATCCCACCGACGTCCCCCCGTCACGCGTCACCTCACCCCCCCTCACCCCGGTGGGCTGACCTTGGAGGCGCCGAAGTCGGCGAGCTTGATGACGCCGTCGCGGTCCACGAGCACGTTGCCACCCTTGATGTCGCGGTGCACGATGCGGCACGCGTGCAGGTACTCCAGCCCCAGCAGCAGCTGCCGCGTGTACACCCGCACCAGCGACTCGCTGAACGCCCCAAACTTCTCCAACATGCTGCCGGGGGGGTGGAGGGGGAGGGGAAGACGGAGGGGAAGACGGAGGGGAGGGGGGAAGGGAAGAGGAATGAGGGAAAGCAGGCGAGAGGAAGAAGTAAGCGTTGGCATGAAGCCTTGGCGACAACAAGACATGAAGCTCAGCTTGTTTGCAAGCCACAAGCAGTACCCCCACCTGTGCATGCACGCCCACCTGTGGATGGAGCCGCCGGAGACGAATTCAAGGAAGATGTAGATGGAGCCATCGGCCTCGTGCTTCTCCATGTCGATGTACCCCACGATGTGCCGGTGCCGCATCTTCTTGTACAGCACGATCTCCCGCTCCAGTGCTGCGATGAGCATGGCCTTCTCGTCGCCCTGGCTCGTCATCTTGATCTCCTTCACCGCCATCAGCTCGCCCGTCATCTCGTTCAGCCCCAGAAACACCTGCCCGCCCCACCCCACCACACCACGCGACACCGCAGTGCAACACAACGCAGATTCAGTTCTACTCTATCGGCGATCGTGTTTCCTCCGTCTCTAAGCAAATTCGTTCCGATTTCTGACAGACTCGTCAATGAGCCTTGACAGACTTGTCAGGCATTGGTCACTTTCTTGGAGATGGGTGAGGATATGGCAAATGGCAAGGAGTGGCATTGTGGCGGCAAGTACGAGCAGCGTCACAGACCGGTTCCTCCCGAGTCACTTCCAGTGTGACTAGGTGCGAGCAGAACAGCCATCGCACGTGGTGTGAGCAGAACAGCCATCGCACGTGGTGTGAGCAGAACAGCCATCGCACGTGGTGTGAGCAGAACAGCCATCGCACGTGGTGTGAGCAGAACAGCCATCGCACGTGGTGTGAGCAGAACAGCCATCGCACGTGGTGTGAGCAGAACAGCCATCGCACGTGGTGTGAGCAGAACAGCCATCGCACGTGGTGTGAGCAGAACAGCCATCGCACGTGGTGTGAGCAGAACAGCCATCGCACGTGGTGTGAGCAGAACAGCCATCGCACGTGGTGTGAGCAGAACAGCCATCGCACGTGGTGTGAGCAGAACAGCCATCGCACGTGGTGTGAGCAGAACAGCCATCGCACGTGGTGTGAGCAGAACAGCCATCGCACGTGGTGTGAGCAGAACAGCCATCGCACGTGGTGTGAGCAGAACAGCCATCGCACGTGGTGTGAGCAGAACAGCCATCGCACGTGGTGTGAGCAGAACAGCCATCGCACGTGGTGTGAGCAGAACAGCCATCGCACGTGGTGTGAGCAGAACAGCCATCGCACGTGGTGTGAGCAGAACAGCCATCGCACGTGGTGTGAGCAGAACAGCCATCGCACGTGGTGTGAGCAGAACAGCCATCGCACGTGGTGTGAGCAGAACAGCCATCGCACGTGGTGTGAGCAGAACAGCCATCGCACGTGGTGTGAGCAGAACAGCCATCGCACGTGGTGTGAGCAGAACAGCCATCGCACGTGGTGTGAGCAGAACAGCCATCGCACGTGGTGTGAGCAGAACAGCCATCGCACGTGGTGTGAGCAGAACAGCCATCGCACGTGGTGTGAGCAGAACAGCCATCGCACGTGGTGTGAGCAGAACAGCCATCGCACGTGGTGTGAGCAGAACAGCCATCGCACGTGGTGTGAGCAGAACAGCCATCGCACGTGGTGTGAGCAGAACAGCCATCGCACGTGGTGTGAGCAGAACAGCCATCGCACGTGGTGTGAGCAGAACAGCCATCGCACGTGGTGTGAGCAGAACAGCCATCGCACGTGGTGTGAGCAGAACAGCCATCGCACGTGGTGTGAGCAGAACAGCCATCGCACGTGGTGTGAGCAGAACAGCCATCGCACGTGGTGTGAGCAGAACAGCCATCGCACGTGGTGTGAGCAGAACAGCCATCGCACGTGGTGTGAGCAGAACAGCCATCGCACGTGGTGTGAGCAGAACAGCCATCGCACGTGGTGTGAGCAGAACAGCCATCGAACGTAGTGTGAGCAGAACAGCCATCGCACGTGGTGGGCTGAGACTTTGCCACCAGTTGATCACATACCAACGCCGCTCATGTCGTCCCCGCCATAGGTCACTCACCTTGCCGTATGCACTCACCTTGCCGTATGCACTCACCTTGCCGTATGCACTCACCTTGCCGTATGCACTCACCTTGCCGTATGCACTCACCTTGCCGTATGCACTCACCTTGCCGTATGCACTCACCTTGCCGTATGCACTCACCTTGCCGTATGCACTCACCTTGCCGCATGCACTCACCTTGCCGCATGCACTCACCTTGCCGCATGCACTCACCTTGCCGCATGCACTCACCTTGCCGCATGCACTCACCTTGCCGCATGCACTCACCTTGCCGCATGCACTCACCTTGCCGCATGCACTCACCTTGCCGTATGCACTCACCTTGCCGTATGCACTCACCTTGCCGTATGCACTCACCTTGCCGCATGCACTCACTTACCGTATGCACTCACCTTGCCGCATGCACTCACCTTGCCGTATGCACTCACCTTACCGTATGCACTCACCTTGCCGTATGCACTCACCTTGCCGTATGCACTCACCTTGCCGTATGCACTCACCTTGCCGTATGCACTCACCTTGCCGTATGCACTCACCTTGCCGTATGCACTCACCTTGCCGCATGCACTCACCTTGCCGTATGCACTCACCTTGCCGTATGCACTCACCTTGCCGTATGCACTCACCTTGCCGTATGCACTCACCTTGCCGTATGCACTCACCTTGCCGTATGCACTCACCTTGCCGTATGCACTCACCTTGCCGTATGCACTCACCTTGCCGCATGCACTTACCTTGCCGCATGCACTCACCTTGCCGCATGCACTCACCTTGCCGCATGCACTCACCTTGCCGTATGCACTCACCTTGCCGTATGCACTCACCTTGCCGTATGCACTCACCTTGCCGTATGCACTCACCTTGCCGTATGCACTCACCTTGCCGTATGCACTCACCTTGCCGTATGCACTCACCTTGCCGTATGCACTCACCTTGCCGCATGCACTCACCTTGCCGTATGCACTCACCTTGCCGTATGCACTCACCTTGCCGTATGCACTCACCTTGCCGTATGCACTCACCTTGCCGTATGCACTCACCTTGCCGTATGCACTCACCTTGCCGTATGCACTCACCTTGCCGTATGCACTCACCTTGCCGTATGCACTCACCTTGCCGCATGCACTTACCTTGCCGCATGCACTCACCTTGCCGCATGCACTCACCTTGCCGCATGCACTCACCTTGCCGTATGCACTCACCTTGCCGTATGCACTCACCTTGCCGTATGCACTCACCTTGCCGTATGCACTCACCTTGCCGTATGCACTCACCTTGCCGTATGCACTCACCTTGCCGTATGCACTCACCTTGCCGTATGCACTCACCTTGCCGTATGCACTCACCTTGCCGTATGCACTCACCTTGCCGCATGCACTCACCTTGCCGCATGCACTCACCTTGCCGCATGCACTCACCGTGCCGGATGCACTCACCTTGCCGTATGCACTCACCTTGCCGTATGCACTCACCTTGCCGCATGCACTCACCTTGCCGTATGCACTCACCTTGCCGTATGCACTCACCTTGCCGTATGCACTCACCTTGCCGTATGCACTCACCTTGCCGCATGCACTCACCTTGCCGCATGCACTCACCTTGCCGCATGCACTCACCTTGCCGCATGCACTCACCTTGCCGTATGCACTCACCTTGCCGTATGCACTCACCTTGCCGTATGCACTCACCTTGCCGTATGCACTCACCTTGCCGTATGCACTCACCTTGCCGTATGCACTCACCTTGCCGTATGCACTCACCTTGCCGTATGCACTCACCTTGCCGTATGCACTCACCTTGCCGCATGCACTTACCTTGCCGCATGCACTCACCTTGCCGCATGCACTCACCTTGCCGCATGCACTCACCTTGCCGTATGCACTCACCTTGCCGTATGCACTCACCTTGCCGTATGCACTCACCTTGCCGCATGCACTCACCTTGCCGCATGCACTCACCTTGCCGCATGCACTCACCTTGCCGCATGCACTCACCTTGCCGTATGCACTCACCTTGCCGTATGCACTCACCTTGCCGTATGCACTCACCTTGCCGTATGCACTCAACTTGCCGTATGCACTCACCTTGCCGTATGCACTCACCTTGCCGCATGCACTTACCTTGCCGCATGCACTCACCTTGCCGCATGCACTCACCTTGCCGCATGCACTCACCTTGCCGTATGCACTCACCTTGCCGTATGCACTCACCTTGCCGTATGCACTCACCTTGCCGCATGCACTCACCTTGCCGCATGCACTCACCTTGCCGCATGCACTCACCTTGCCGCATGCACTCACCTTGCCGTATGCACTCACCTTGCCGTATGCACTCACCTTGCCGTATGCACTCACCTTGCCGTATGCACTCACCTTGCCGTATGCACTCACCTTGCCGTATGCACTCACCTTGCCGTATGCACTCACCTTGCCGTATGCACTCACCTTGCCGTATGCACTCACCTTGCCGTATGCACTCACCTTGCCGCATGCACTCACCTTGCCGCATGCACTCACCTTGCCGTATGCACTCACCTTGCCGCATGCACTCACCTTGCCGTATGCACTCACCTTGCCGTATGCACTCACCTTGCCGCATGCACTCACCTTGCCGCATGCACTCACCTTGCCGCATGCACTCACCTTGCCGTATGCACTCACCTTGCCGTATGCACTCACCTTGCCGTATGCACTCACCTTGCCGTATGCACTCACCTTTCCGCATGCACTCACCTTGCCGCATGCACTCACCTTGCCGCATGCACTCACCTTTCCGCATGCACTCACCTTGCCGTATGCACTCACCTTGCCGTATGCACTCACCTTGCCGTATGCACTCACCTTGCCGTATGCACTCACCTTGCCGCATGCACTCACCTTGCCGCATGCACTCACCTTGCCGCATGCACTCACCTTGACGCATGCACTCACCTTGCCGTATGCACTCACCTTGCCGCATGCACTCACCTTGCCGTATGCACTCACCTTGCCGTATGCACTCACCTTGCCGTATGCACTCACCTTGCCGCATGCACTCACCTTGCCGCATGCACTCACCTTGCCGCATGCACTCACCTTGCCGCATGCACTCACCTTGCCGCATGCACTCACCTTGCCGCATGCACTCACCTTGCCGTATGCACTCACCTTGCCGTATGCACTCACCTTGCCGTATGCACTCACCTTGCCGTATGCACTCACCTTGCCGTATGCACTCACCTTGCCGTATGCACTCACCTTGCCGTATGCACTCACCTTGCCGCATGCACTCACCTTGCCGCATGCACTCACCTTGCCGTATGCACTCACCTTGCCGCATGCACTCACCTTGCCGTATGCACTCACCTTGCCGTATGCACTCACCTTGCCGCATGCACTCACCTTGCCGCATGCACTCACCTTGCCGCATGCACTCACCTTGCCGTATGCACTCACCTTGCCGTATGCACTCACCTTGCCGTATGCACTCACCTTGCCGTATGCACTCACCTTTCCGCATGCACTCACCTTGCCGCATGCACTCACCTTGCCGCATGCACTCACCTTTCCGCATGCACTCACCTTGCCGTATGCACTCACCTTGCCGTATGCACTCACCTTGCCGTATGCACTCACCTTGCCGTATGCACTCACCTTGCCGCATGCACTCACCTTGCCGCATGCACTCACCTTGCCGCATGCACTCACCTTGACGCATGCACTCACCTTGCCGTATGCACTCACCTTGCCGCATGCACTCACCTTGCCGTATGCACTCACCTTGCCGTATGCACTCACCTTGCCGTATGCACTCACCTTGCCGCATGCACTCACCTTGCCGCATGCACTCACCTTGCCGCATGCACTCACCTTGCCGCATGCACTCACCTTGCCGCATGCACTCACCTTGCCGCATGCACTCACCTTGCCGTATGCACTCACCTTGCCGCATGCACTCACCTTGCCGCATGCACTCACCTTGCCGCATGCACTCACCGTGCCGGATGCACTCACCTTGCCGTATGCACTCACCTTGCCGTATGCACTCACCTTGCCGTATGCACTCACCTTGCCGTATGCACTCACCTTGCCGTATGCACTCACCTTGCCGTATGCACTCACCTTGCCGCATGCACTCACCTTGCCGCATGCACTCACCTTGCCGCATGCACTCACCGTGCCGGATGCACTCACCTTGCCGTATGCACTCACCTTGCCGCATGCACTCACCTTGCCGCATGCACTCACCTTGCCGTATGCACTCACCTTGCCGTATGCACTCACCTTGCCGCATGCACTCACCTTGCCGTATGCACTCACCTTGCCGTATGCACTCACCTTTCCGCATGCACTCACCTTGCCGCATGCACTCACCTTGCCGCATGCACTCACCTTTCCGCATGCACTCACCTTGCCGTATGCACTCACCTTGCCGTATGCACTCACCTTGCCGTATGCACTCACCTTGCCGTATGCACTCACCTTGCCGCATGCACTCACCTTGCCGCATGCACTCACCTTGCCGCATGCACTCACCTTGACGCATGCACTCACCTTGCCGTATGCACTCACCTTGCCGCATGCACTCACCTTGCCGTATGCACTCACCTTGCCGTATGCACTCACCTTGCCGTATGCACTCACCTTGCCGCATGCACTCACCTTGCCGCATGCACTCACCTTGCCGCATGCACTCACCTTGCCGCATGCACTCACCTTGCCGCATGCACTCACCTTGCCGCATGCACTCACCTTGCCGTATGCACTCACCTTGCCGTATGCACTCACCTTGCCGTATGCACTCACCTTGCCGTATGCACTCACCTTGCCGTATGCACTCACCTTGCCGTATGCACTCACCTTGCCGTATGCACTCACCTTGCCGCATGCACTCACCTTGCCGCATGCACTCACCTTGCCGTATGCACTCACCTTGCCGCATGCACTCACCTTGCCGTATGCACTCACCTTGCCGTATGCACTCACCTTGCCGTATGCACTCACCTTGCCGCATGCACTCACCTTGCCGCATGCACTCACCTTGCCGCATGCACTCACCTTGCCGCATGCACTCACCTTGCCGCATGCACTCACCTTGCCGCATGCACTCACCTTGCCGTATGCACTCACCTTGCCGCATGCACTCACCTTGCCGCATGCACTCACCTTGCCGCATGCACTCACCGTGCCGGATGCACTCACCTTGCCGTATGCACTCACCTTGCCGTATGCACTCACCTTGCCGTATGCACTCACCTTGCCGTATGCACTCACCTTGCCGTATGCACTCACCTTGCCGTATGCACTCACCTTGCCGCATGCACTCACCTTGCCGCATGCACTCACCTTGCCGCATGCACTCACCGTGCCGGATGCACTCACCTTGCCGTATGCACTCACCTTGCCGCATGCACTCACCTTGCCGCATGCACTCACCTTGCCGTATGCACTCACCTTACCGTATGCACTCACCTTGCCGCATGCACTCACCTTGCCGTATGCACTCACCTTGCCGTATGCACTCACCTTGCCGTATGCACTCACCTTGCCGTATGCACTCACCTTTCCGCATGCACTCACCTTGCCGCATGCACTCACCTTGCCGCATGCACTCACCTTGCCGGATGCACTCACCTTGCCGTATGCACTCACCTTGCCGTATGCACTCACCTTGCCGTATGCACTCACCTTGCCGTATGCACTCACCTTGCCGCATGCACTCACCTTGCCGCATGCACTCACCTTGCCGCATGCGCTCACCTTGCCGCATGCACTCACCTTGCCGTATGCACTCACCTTGCCGTATGCACTCACCTTGCCGTATGCACTCACCTTGCCGTATGCACTCACCTTGCCGCATGCACTCACCTTGCCGCATGCACTCACCTTGCCGCATGCACTCACCTTGCCGCATGCACTCACCTTGCCGCATGCACTCACCTTGCCGCATGCACTCACCTTGCCGCATGCCCTCACCTTGCCGCATGCACTCACCTTGCCGTATGCACTCACCTTGCCGCATGCACTCACCTTGCCGCATGCACTCACCTTGCCGCATGCACTCACCTTGCCGCATGCACTCACCTTGCCGCATGCACTCACCTTGCCGCATGCACTCACCTTGCCGCATGCCCTCACCTTGCCGTATGCCCCTTCGCCCAGCATCTCGCCCTTCTTCCACTTGAACGACGCCGCTGCACATGCCGCCTCCACAGCACCCGCAGCAGAGGCAGCGGTGGGGGTCGAGGGGGATGGGGTGGAGGAGGGAGGGGTGAGTGGGGAGGTGGGAGCAGCGGCCTTGGGAGAGGCAGCGGGGTCTGTGGTTTTGGATTCAAGGGCAGGGGAGGCCGGAGCAGGCGATGCAGCAGCTCCTTGCCTTTTGCCCGCACTTGATGCTTCGTCTCCACTCGCGTCCACACGCCCTGCCTTGGCATCCGCGCCCTCTCGTGCCTCCACGGGTTTGGGAGAGAGGGGCGGCCGCACAGCACCCTTCTTCTCCCCTTCCCCGCCCCTCCCCACCTTCCCCTCTGCTGATGGTTCCCTCCCTCCCTGCTCTCCCCCACCTGCCTCCTCCCCACTGCCACTCCTCTCCACCCCATTCGCTGCACCCGGACTCTCCCCGTGTGCTGTGTCGCTGGGCTGGCTGCTGCCATGAGCGGGCAGCGAGAACTTCACGGACTTGCGTGCACGCGTGGGTTGAGCGGTGGAGGCGGGGTGAGCAGCTTGGGAGGGAGATGGAGACGCGCCTGCCACAGCAGCAGCAGCTGTGCTGCCCTCGCTGCCCTCAACGCCAGCACTCAAAGCAGCAGCAGCAGAAGCACCACCACCACCACTACTACTGCCAGCACCAGTGGCCCCAGCAGCAGCGGATGCAGCAGTGGGAGCAGCAGCGCGAGCAGCAGCACCACGTGTGCTGCCAGCCCTCTCTCCCTTGCCTCCGCCACTGCCAGGCCTCTCCGCCCTCCCCCCTGCGCTGCCAGGCCTCTCCCCTTTACCCCTCGCACCTGCCCCTGCCGCTGCTCCCACCACAGCTGGTGCTGCCGACGCACCCTCTGCTCGCCCTGACGCCTCCCCGCCACCACCCGGCACACCGGAGGCGAGGCGGCGCAGGGAGGAGGGGGTGGGGCGAGGGCCCCCCATGCTCTCATCGTCCGTCACCACCTCCCTCCCGCCGCCAACGCGCTGCCCACCCCCTCCCCCCGCCGCTCCTGCCGCACCCTCCTCTGCCGCTGCTGCGCCCACCCCTCCCCTGCTGCCGCGCGATGCAATGCTGTCAGGCGGAGGGGACGCGGACGGTGCAGCGGCGCCGGGGGCGGAGGGGCGCAGGCCCGGGCGGCGCTGCTGGCGGGCGCGCAGAGACACCTCGGTGTCGCTGCACGGCCAGTCACCCCCCTCCCCCCCCTGCTTCTGCCGCCGCCGCCCTTCGCCCTGCCCCGCCTTGCCGTGCTGCTGCTGCCCGCCCTCCCCCCCGCTGCCACTGCCACTGCCCGGCCTGCTGCGGCCTTCCAGTGCGTGGCGGCGCAGGTGGGGGAGGGAGGAGGGCGGCGAGCTGGCAGAGGGGGACGTCAGCGGCGAGGAGGACGCCGCCAGGGGGGAGCGCGGGCCGGCCAACAGTGCCGCCTCCCCCACCGCGTCACTGCTGCCCACCCGCCTCACTCCCCCTGATCCCTGCCCTCCCCTCCCAGCCGTCCCAGCCCCACCAGCAGCACCGGCAGCACTAGCAGCAGCAGCAGGCGGTGGGTCAGCGCCCCCCAGGCGTGTGGGTGGAGGCGTTGGTTTCCCAACCGCCCTCTCCTCCTGCGACATGCCCCTCCCCACCACCTGCCTCCCCGCCCTCCTCGCTGCGTCCCTGCGCCCCGCGCCCCCATGCTCGCCCCCATGGTCGCCCCCATGCTCACCGCGGTCACTCTCCGACTGAGACGACTCCGCCATCCACCCCTCTGCACCCTCTCCACTCACCATATCCCCGCTGCTGCCCCCTCTCTCCTTCCCACTTCCCCCTCTCTCCTTTCCACTTCCCTCTCTCTCCTTCCCACTGCCCTCTCTCTCCCTCCCTCTGTTCTTATCCAACCCCCCAGGCTGTGCTGCGCGTCCTCCTCCCTCTCTGCACCTTTCTCCTCCCCCATCACTCCCGGACTTCTCACCCCCATGCCTCTCCTCATCTCCCGGACTTACCGCCCCTCTCTGCTGCACGCCCTGTCTGCCGCTGCCAGAGGGGCTTTTCATGCCACTGTCACCGCGCACAGCTCCCTCACCACCCATGCCACCGCGCTCCACCACATCGCCCGCACTCATAGCCTGTGCATTCAGTGACTGTGTGCGCACCATCCCTCCCCGCCGCCCCCCCACCCTCCACCCCTCTCCCTCGCCCCTCCACCCCACCCCTTCCCCCCCCACCCCCCCTGGCTGTCCCACCAGCGCCCCTGCCAGCGGCCCGCCCCAGCCGTGACTCGCCCGCACTGCCGCCATCGCTCACCATGCCACCCACACTGCTGCTCCCCGGTACTCTCGCCCGCCGCAACCGCACTGCACCGCCCTCCACATCTGACATCACCTCGCCATGCCCCGCCACCAGCCCCCCTCCCACTCCCCCTACCCCTCTCCCCGCTGCCCTCCCTCCCCCCCCTCTCCCCCCGCCCTCGCCCCCCTCGCCACTGCCCCCATGACGCCTGCCCGCTGCTGCCCCTGCTGCCACGGCCCTGTCAGCAGCGCCATCCAGTGCGCGCCCCGCCAGGCTGCCCCCAACCCTCCTCCCTGCTGCGCCCATCCCTCCCCCTCCACCCGCGCCTCTGAGCCCTCCCGCGCCCCCAACGCCGCCTGCACCCACCAACCTGGCGGCGGCGCCGTCCCCCTCTGCAGCGTGGCGGGTGGGGGAGGCAGCGGAGCGCGAGGAGGGCAGCGGCGAGGGCGAGAGGGCGGGGGACGCGGCGGAGCTGTCAGTGCCGCCCACGCGGCGGGCGCTCTCCCACGCCGCCGAGAACAGCTGCTCGTGGCCCTCCAAGGGGGTGGGGCTGCGCGCGCGCTGCCCGGGCAGGCCGTGGCTGCGAGTGGGGCTGCGGAAGCTCATGGTGCGCGCGGGCAGCCCCGTGGGCTGGGCGGCAGCGGACGAGAAGGAGGAGGGCGGCGCAGCGTGGTGGTGGGCGGCGGAGCGCAGGTGGTCGCGCGAAGGGCTGCGGAAGGACATGGAGCGGGCGGGCAGGGTGGTGGGGTGCGCGGCGAGGGGCGAGATGGACGCGGAGGGGGAGGGGTGCGCGGGGCGCGGGTCGCGGGAGGGGCTCTGGAAGCTCATGGTGCGATTCTTGGCCAGCAGCCAGTCCGCGCGTGATGGCGGCGCTGCCACCGACGCCGAGAGCGGAAAGGCGTCCGCCCCGCGCGCACCTGATGCACCTCCCTGCCCCTCCCGCCTCGCCCGCCCGCCCTCCCCATGGCCCAGCACCGCCCCCGGCAGGTGGGCATGGGCAGAGGCGGCGGTGTCGTCCAGGCCGGCCTCCCAGTGCTGCCCGCCCCCCTCCCCCACCCCGCCACTGCCGCCGCTGTTGCTGCCCGTGTGGTCCATGTCAGCACCCCCCTCAGTGGAGCGCAGGTGGTACTCGTGTAGCTTGCGGAAGAGCGCCCGGATGCGCTCCGACGCCGTGAGCTGCTGCGCCACGAGACCATCGCTGTTGCGCGCATACATGTTGGCGCCCGCCACCAGCAGCAGCTTTATTATCCCCCTGCCATGCGCGCATGGGGTGGGGGTGGGAAGGTGAGATGGGCAGATGGGACGAAAGGGGGGCGAGGGTAAAGGAAAGAGAGAGGAGGAAGGCTTACCCTTTTACTCTACCTTCTCTCTAGGCTTACACCCGCTTAGCTCGCATTCCGTCGTTCCTTGCTCTCTGTTTTCTGTACCTTTCATTCTATCCAATGATAAGGACCATTTGAGAGGGAGGGACACAAGGAAGGAAACTAGGAAGGGCGAGAATGGTGGGAAGGGAACAGAGACCTGTCGAGGGGGTGGGGGAAAGAAGGGAAGGGGATGAGGGGCTAAGTTGGAAAAGTCGCCACCCAGGGAAAGCGTACGTACAGTGTATACACGCTGTACACAATACGCACGTAAATTCGCTCGAAAATGTCCGGGCTGCCCGGCAAAATAAAAATAAAAATCATGCACAAGTACCAGCACGGTTTAGTGGGCGAGGTGGCATGTGGTGGGAAGGAAGTGGATAGTGGGGAGCTGCACGCTCGACTCCCCAGCAGGGGACCCAGGAGGAGCGAGGGGCCACTGACAGCACACAAGTGGGATGAGTTAAGTGGCAGGGTGGGACGGGTACATGGGTCACGTGAAGGTATACATGGGCGTGCTTTTACTCGACTCGTTCAAAATACTCCTTGGCGGCCGAGTAACGACCATGCTTTTTTTGGAAAAAAACTCGGCCGAGTCGATGCGAGCTTTACTCGCCGCGTTTTTCCTGCTCGTCATTTGCTCGCCTTGGAGACGAGCATTTTCGGCTACTCGGGGGAGGTTTTACTCGGGGGAGGTTTTACTCGGGGGAGGTTTTACTCGCTACAGTGAAGGTGCGCATGATGAGCACGAGATGAGCTGAGTCGAGTCGAGCATAGCGCGCATAGGTCTCCCCATCCCATTGCCCCCCTTCAGCACATCAGCTTGCACCACTGCTGTGTTCCTCCCACACACACACCTGTGACCCACACACACACCTGTGACCCACACACACACCTGTGACCCACACACACACCTGTGACCCACACACACACCTGTGACCCACACACACACCTGTGGCTCATGCTGCAGGCGTAGTGCAGCGCGGAGCAGCGAGTGGCGTCGGTGGCGTTGATGTCCGCCCCGTTGGTGAGCAGCAGCCGCACCAACTCCTCACTGCCCGCCTGCACCGCCCACAGCAGCGGCGGTGAAAAGCCCTCCTGCTGCCACTCGTGCCCAGGCAGGGTGGGTGTGAGGGATGTGGTGAGGTGAGGGATGCAAGGGGAGTGAATGCAGCAGTGGGGATGGAGGGAGAAGTTGAGTGAGTAGGAAGACGGGAAGAATGTGTATGAATCCAAGCCCCTGTGTGCACCTTACGCACTTGTGCATGTGTGTGAGATGTGGTGAAGGGACGCACATACACTGGTAGCACCGTGGCATGCATACAACAGCCCGGCACATGAGGAGCACGGCAGAGGGCAGAGGGCAGACAGAGGGCAGAGGGCAAGGGGCAGAGGGCAGAGGGCAGAGGGGAGGAGTGGGAGTCACCTGAGCGGCGGTGCCCCCGTCGGGGTCGGCCCCCCACTCGAGCAGCACTGCAGCCGCGTCCACACTGCCCGCCACCACCGCCTCGTGCAGCACCGTGCGCCCCGTCGCTGAGGGGGGAGGGGGGGGGGCGAGTGGGAAGGAGCAAGGGCAAGAGGGCACAGCACAGTGAGGTTATTTGGAGCCAAACAGTGAGGTTATTTGGAGCCAAACAGTGAGGTTATTTGGAGCCAAACAGTGAGGTTATTTGGAGCCAAACAGTGAGGTTATTTGGAGCCAAACAGTGCGGTTATTTGGAGCCAAACAGTGAGGTTATTTGGAGCCAAACAGTGAGGTTATTTGGAGCCAAACAGTGAGGTTATTTGGAGCCAAACAGTGAGGTTATTTGGAGCCAAACAGTGAGGTTATTTGGAGCCAAACAGTGAGGTTATTTGGAGCCAAACAGTGAGGTTATTTGGAGCCAAACAGTGAGGTTATTTGGAGCCAAACAGTGAGGTTATTTGGAGCCAAACAGTGAGGTTATTTGGAGCCAAACAGTGCGGTTATTTGGAGCCAAACAGTGAGGTTATTTGGAGCCAAACAGTGAGGTTATTTGGAGCCAAACAGTGAGGTTATTTGGAGCCAAACAGTGCGGTTATTTGGAGCCAAACAGTGAGGTTATTTGGAGCCAAACAGTGAGGTTCTTTGGAGCCAAACAGTGAGGTTATTTGGAGCCAAACAGTGAGGTTATTTGGAGCCAAACAGTGAGGTTATTTGGAGCCAAACAGTGCGGTTATTTGGAGCCAAACAGTGAGGTTATTTGGAGCCAAACAGTGAGGTTATTTGGAGCCAAACAGTGAGGTTATTTGGAGCCAAACAGTGCGGTTATTTGGAGCCAAACAGTGCGGTTATTTGGAGCCAAACAGTGCGGTTATTTGGAGCCAAACAGTGCGGTTATTTGGAGCCAAACAGTGCGGTTATTTGGAGCCAAACAGTGAGGTTATTTGGAGCCAAACAGTGAGGTTATTTGGAGCCAAACAGTGAGGTTATTTGGAGCCAAACAGTGAGGTTATTTGGAGCCAAACAGTGAGGTTATTTGGAGCCAAACAGTGAGGTTATTTGGAGCCAAACAGTGAGGTTATTTGGAGCCAAACAGTGAGGTTATTTGGAGCCAAACAGTGCGGTTATTTGGAGCCAAACAGTGAGGTTATTTGGAGCCAAACAGTGAGGTTATTTGGAGCCAAACAGTGAGGTTATTTGGAGCCAAACAGTGAGGATATTTGGAGCCAAACAGTGAGGTTATTTGGAGCCAAACAGTGAGGTTATTTGGAGCCAAACAGTGAGGTTATTTGGAGCCAAACAGTGAGGTTATTTGGAGCCAAACAGTGCGGTTATTTGGAGCCAAACAGTGAGGTTATTTGGAGCCAAACAGTGAGGTTATTTGGAGCCAAACAGTGCGGTTATTTGGAGCCAAACAGTGCGGTTATTTGGAGCCAAACAGTGAGGTTATTTGGAGCCAAACAGTGAGGTTATTTGGAGCCAAACAGTGAGGTTATTTGGAGCCAAACAGTGAGGTTATTTGGAGCCAAACAGTGAGGTTATTTGGAGCCAAACAGTGAGGTTATTTGGAGCCAAACAGTGAGGTTATTTGGAGCCAAACAGTGAGGTTATTTGGAGCCAAACAGTGAGGTTATTTGGAGCCAAACAGTGAGGTTATTTGGAGCCAAACAGTGAGGTTATTTGGAGCCAAACAGTGAGGTTATTTGGAGCCAAACAGTGCGGTTATTTGGAGCCAAACAGTGAGGTTATTTGGAGCCAAACAGTGCGGTTATTTGGAGCCAAACAGTGAGGTTATTTGGAGCCAAACAGTGAGGTTATTTGGAGCCAAACAGTGAGGTTATTTGGAGCCAAACAGTGCGGTTATTTGGAGCCAAACAGTGAGGTTATTTGGAGCCAAACAGTGAGGTTATTTGGAGCCAAACAGTGAGGTTATTTGGAGCCAAACAGTGAGGTTATTTGGAGCCAAACAGTGAGGTTATTGGAGCCAAACAGTGAGGTTATTTGGAGCCAAACAGTGAGGTTATTTGGAGCCAAACAGTGAGGTTATTTGGAGCCAAACAGTGAGGTTATTTGGAGCCAAACAGTGAGGTTATTTGGAGCCAAACAGTGAGGATATTTGGAGCCAAACAGTGAGGTTATTTGGAGCCAAACAGTGAGGTTATTTGGAGCCAAACAGTGAGGTTATTTGGAGCCAAACAGTGCGGTTATTTGGAGCCAAACAGTGAGGTTATTTGGAGCCAAACAGTGAGGTTATTTGGAGCCAAACAGTGAGGTTATTTGGAGCCAAACAGTGCGGTTATTTGGAGCCAAACAGTGAGGTTATTTGGAGCCAAACAGTGCGGTTATTTGGAGCCAAACAGTGAGGTTATTTGGAGCCAAACAGTGCGGTTATTTGGAGCCAAACAGTGAGGTTATTTGGAGCCAAACAGTGAGGTTATTTGGAGCCAAACAGTGAGGTTATTTGGAGCCAAACAGTGAGGTTATTTGGAGCCAAACAGTGAGGTTATTTGGAGCCAAACAGTGAGGTTATTTGGAGCCAAACAGTGAGGTTATTTGGAGCCAAACAGTGAGGTTATTTGGAGCCAAACAGTGAGGTTATTTGGAGCCAAACAGTGAGGTTATTTGGAGCCAAACAGTGCGGTTATTTGGAGCCAAACAGTGAGGTTATTTGGAGCCAAACAGTGAGGTTATTTGGAGCCAAACAGTGAGGTTATTTGGAGCCAAACAGTGCGGTTATTTGGAGCCAAACAGTGAGGTTATTTGGAGCCAAACAGTGAGGTTCTTTGGAGCCAAACAGTGAGGTTATTTGGAGCCAAACAGTGAGGTTATTTGGAGCCAAACAGTGAGGTTATTTGGAGCCAAACAGTGCGGTTATTTGGAGCCAAACAGTGAGGTTATTTGGAGCCAAACAGTGAGGTTATTTGGAGCCAAACAGTGAGGTTATTTGGAGCCAAACAGTGCGGTTATTTGGAGCCAAACAGTGCGGTTATTTGGAGCCAAACAGTGCGGTTATTTGGAGCCAAACAGTGCGGTTATTTGGAGCCAAACAGTGCGGTTATTTGGAGCCAAACAGTGAGGTTATTTGGAGCCAAACAGTGAGGTTATTTGGAGCCAAACAGTGAGGTTATTTGGAGCCAAACAGTGAGGTTATTTGGAGCCAAACAGTGAGGTTATTTGGAGCCAAACAGTGAGGTTATTTGGAGCCAAACAGTGAGGTTATTTGGAGCCAAACAGTGAGGTTATTTGGAGCCAAACAGTGCGGTTATTTGGAGCCAAACAGTGAGGTTATTTGGAGCCAAACAGTGAGGTTATTTGGAGCCAAACAGTGAGGTTATTTGGAGCCAAACAGTGAGGATATTTGGAGCCAAACAGTGAGGTTATTTGGAGCCAAACAGTGAGGTTATTTGGAGCCAAACAGTGAGGTTATTTGGAGCCAAACAGTGAGGTTATTTGGAGCCAAACAGTGCGGTTATTTGGAGCCAAACAGTGAGGTTATTTGGAGCCAAACAGTGAGGTTATTTGGAGCCAAACAGTGCGGTTATTTGGAGCCAAACAGTGCGGTTATTTGGAGCCAAACAGTGAGGTTATTTGGAGCCAAACAGTGAGGTTATTTGGAGCCAAACAGTGAGGTTATTTGGAGCCAAACAGTGAGGTTATTTGGAGCCAAACAGTGAGGTTATTTGGAGCCAAACAGTGAGGTTATTTGGAGCCAAACAGTGAGGTTATTTGGAGCCAAACAGTGAGGTTATTTGGAGCCAAACAGTGAGGTTATTTGGAGCCAAACAGTGAGGTTATTTGGAGCCAAACAGTGAGGTTATTTGGAGCCAAACAGTGCGGTTATTTGGAGCCAAACAGTGAGGTTATTTGGAGCCAAACAGTGCGGTTATTTGGAGCCAAACAGTGAGGTTATTTGGAGCCAAACAGTGAGGTTATTTGGAGCCAAACAGTGAGGTTATTTGGAGCCAAACAGTGCGGTTATTTGGAGCCAAACAGTGAGGTTATTTGGAGCCAAACAGTGAGGTTATTTGGAGCCAAACAGTGAGGTTATTTGGAGCCAAACAGTGAGGTTATTTGGAGCCAAACAGTGAGGTTATTGGAGCCAAACAGTGAGGTTATTTGGAGCCAAACAGTGAGGTTATTTGGAGCCAAACAGTGAGGTTATTTGGAGCCAAACAGTGAGGTTATTTGGAGCCAAACAGTGAGGTTATTTGGAGCCAAACAGTGAGGATATTTGGAGCCAAACAGTGAGGTTATTTGGAGCCAAACAGTGAGGTTATTTGGAGCCAAACAGTGAGGTTATTTGGAGCCAAACAGTGCGGTTATTTGGAGCCAAACAGTGAGGTTATTTGGAGCCAAACAGTGAGGTTATTTGGAGCCAAACAGTGAGGTTATTTGGAGCCAAACAGTGCGGTTATTTGGAGCCAAACAGTGAGGTTATTTGGAGCCAAACAGTGCGGTTATTTGGAGCCAAACAGTGAGGTTATTTGGAGCCAAACAGTGCGGTTATTTGGAGCCAAACAGTGAGGTTATTTGGAGCCAAACAGTGAGGTTCTTTGGAGCCAAACAGTGAGGTTATTTGGAGCCAAACAGTGAGGTTATTTGGAGCCAAACAGTGAGGTTATTTGGAGCCAAACAGTGCGGTTATTTGGAGCCAAACAGTGAGGTTATTTGGAGCCAAACAGTGAGGTTATTTGGAGCCAAACAGTGAGGTTATTTGGAGCCAAACAGTGCGGTTATTTGGAGCCAAACAGTGCGGTTATTTGGAGCCAAACAGTGCGGTTATTTGGAGCCAAACAGTGCGGTTATTTGGAGCCAAACAGTGCGGTTATTTGGAGCCAAACAGTGAGGTTATTTGGAGCCAAACAGTGAGGTTATTTGGAGCCAAACAGTGAGGTTATTTGGAGCCAAACAGTGCGGTTATTTGGAGCCAAACAGTGAGGTTATTTGGAGCCAAACAGTGAGGTTATTTGGAGCCAAACAGTGCGGTTATTTGGAGCCAAACAGTGCGGTTATTTGGAGCCAAACAGTGCGGTTATTTGGAGCCAAACAGTGCGGTTATTTGGAGCCAAAC